CCGGGTTCGATCCCCAGTTGGGTCGGTGGATTCGCACTGCTGGTGCGACCCAACCAGGTCGAAACAGCTGTCCAGTGCTCCCTAGCTTTTCAGCTCACGCTTCATTTGTCATAGGCACGACGAATTCTCATTTGAAATGTGATATAACTATGTGTAGTCTGAATTCCAGGAAACATCACTGAGTCTTCTTTCTCAGAAAAGTTCCCTGAGAATGATAAGCTCGAATCAGATTTTTAAAAGTTTTGAAGTTTAGGAATTGCATTGAGGTAATCGAGACGGTTAAGTTAGATTCACTGAGAAGTAATGGGTTCAGAGCTAAGGCTTACTGCAAGTTATTTCAATGAAGATACTGTCTATGCGATTTTGATAACCTTTTCTGTCAATTTTTCAGCTGCGCGTCGATCCATTTTTTGTTTCACTGGCCAACCATTTTTGGAGGTATCGTGCCGCCATCTACGAAGTTATTTTCCGGTCTACATATTGACGTCGTAGTTACAGAAAATAGACGAAAATTGTGCTATAGAATTTTACAAACGTTGTCGCAGAACTGCAGTGATCTCAGTTTTCATTTAGTGAACCGAGAAACTTTTGGTTTCTCGAAATATAAACGTTTGTAGTGTCAGTTCACGAGTGATTTATTCGTCTGATATGTCATTAGGAAATGCGTTTACCGATTCGATTGTTCCAATCAATTCATGCTTGTAGTCAAATTCGGAAAAACAGCTCGTACGCAGATTCGGATCTTAGATAGTTGCGATTTCGGCGCGTTAATTGCTGAAACAGATATCTAGATTTGAATACAAATTTACGTCAGCACGTCCTGGAAAGCGATTTGTGAAGGAGTGAGCTTACTCCCACGTTTGATTTGGCGCAGTTCAAAGTGGTCATTCTTTACTGTGAATGTTAAAATAAATTGATTATTTATGATGTAAACACCTACTTCAGTAGAAATTTTATTAGCTTTTGCAAGGGACACACATTGAATTGGGTTCTTCCAGATGGATTGAGAAGCTGAAAATACACCCAAATTTTAGCTACAAGAAACGGTTTATTTACGAGGTTTCCCGTAAGTGGGCGGTGAAGAGCAGACCGTGACCTTGGTTATTCTGTTTGTCGTGCTCTATTGACCCTTGGCGAGAAATCATTCCTTCATGGAATAGTTGTTTCACCATAACTCCGTCCCCCGGGAGGCATGGAATGTTTAACGGTCAATTCATCGTGCCCCTCGCCTGATGGCAAAATAAATACTCAACAGAGTGGAACACGGCTACGTGATAATCAGGGAGATTAATCACTTGGGATTTATTCACCACAATGAGATTGAAGGACTTCTTAGGATATCAAACATTGTTACTGAAACCAAGACTACAAAAGAAATGCTTGCAAATTTTTTATTCAGCTTGTTATTTGCTTCCACCTAAAAACAATTTAATAATATTTAAGTGCTGTTTAACCTCCGAGACCATAAATAATTCCGGTTTGCAGTTGTTTCCTTTACCGCCTAGCAGCCTAGCTCACAACGTGCTTTAGGTTATGTTAACTGCGTCAAAATGTGAAGTGAACATAATCACAACCAGTCTCACTTTGGAGAATTACTTTAGCGGTGGAATAAACCCCTTTATATGGATGGAACTAGGGGCAGGGTACCTAGGGTTTCCTATTGTTGGTTGTACATACCTTTGCATATTACCATTTCAAGATAGCTTTGAGAAACTATAATTTTGATTTGCGAAACCGTCAGTTGGAATTGAGAAACTATCACTTAGATTTGAGAAAGAAATGCTGTGGTTGGATCCGCTTCCGTTCAGCGCACCTCATTGGTCAATTGATCATACATTTTTTCTACCCCCGGATCGACCACCTGTCTTCCCACGCTCTTTCTGTGCTGAAATGAGGCAGACCTCAGTCGTGCATCTTGTCGAGCTCTGTGACGGACGTCGAGTCGGTGTTTCGGTGAAGCCAGGCTTGTGACAACCAAGTGGGACACCACTCGATACGCACGAAGGATGACGCACTGTGCCGTGCCCACTACAGCCAAAGTACATTTGCACGCCAATCCTCTCCCTCTTCAAAAGCCTGAACAATTCGCTTGCGCACAGCGCTGTCAGCACAGTTGTACCGACCTCGAAGCATGATGAAAAAGTGAATGGAAGTGGATGAAAAAATATCTTATACCACATCTGCATAGGCGACTGAGAGATCGTTAATGTCCAAGCGAAGACTTTGATTACGCATGCCCCATGTAACGAAATGTGCATCGGATCGACCGCGTTCTGTTTCGTTCAGTTTTGTGGGCTGGGCCAGAAATGGGTGAGCTACACTTAAGGTGTAACTGGTTTTGGTTGCTAGGCCATTAGGGACAGCCAGTTCATTCACCCATGTTCACCTCAAGAACTCCAACCTCTGTCACTGAACCAATATTGTTATTCCAATAGACCCCTGATTCTCGTACATAGCTCGGATTGCACCGTAAGCCCAAAACTCGCCCCTGATCATAGTTACTGTGGTCAGCTTTGATTACTGAGCTATCGTCAATGTTAGAGCAACTACGAGCAAATGTACTTTAGCTGTAGTGGGCACGGCACAGTGCGTCATCCTTCGTGCGTATCGAGTGGTGTCCCACTTGGTTGTCACAAGCNCCAATCCTCTCCCTCTTCAAAAGCCTGAACAATTCGCTTGCGCACAGCGCTGTCAGCACAGTTGTACCGACCTCGAAGCATGATGAAAAAGTGAATGGAAGTGGATGAAAAAATATCTTATACCACATCTGCATAGGCGACTGAGAGATCGTTAATGTCCAAGCGAAGACTTTGATTACGCATGCCCCATGTAACGAAATGTGCATCGGATCGACCGCGTTCTGTTTCGTTCAGTTTTGTGGGCTGGGCCAGAAATGGGTGAGCTACACTTAAGGTGTAACTGGTTTTGGTTGCTAGGCCATTAGGGACAGCCAGTTCATTCACCCATGTTCACCTCAAGAACTCCAACCTCTGTCACTGAACCAATATTGTTATTCCAATAGACCCCTGATTCTCGTACATAGCTCGGATTGCACCGTAAGCCCAAAACTCGCCCCTGATCATAGTTACTGTGGTCAGCTTTGATTACTGAGCTATCGTCAATGTTAGAGCAACTACGAGCAAATGTACTTTAGCTGTAGTGGGCACGGCACAGTGCGTCATCCTTCGTGCGTATCGAGTGGTGTCCCACTTGGTTGTCACAAGCCTGGCTTCACCGAAACACCGACTCGACGTCCGTCACAGAGCTCGACAAGATGCACGACTGAGGTCTGCCTCATTTCAGCACAGAAAGAGCGTGGGAAGACAGGTGGTCGATCCGGGGGTAGAAAAAATGTATGATCAATTGACCAATGAGGTGCGCTGAACGGAAGCGGATCCAACCACAGCATTTCTTTCTCAAATCTAAGTGATAGTTTCTCAATTCCAACTGACGGTTTCGCAAATCAAAATTATAGTTTCTCAAAGCTATCTTGAAATGGTATAGACAGCTGCCGCCTACTAGCGCAAAGGGTGCTGTTCCGTCCTCGTTCCGCTTAGCTCATTGGGTGCATGAGGTCATGGGGTGATCCTGAACAGTGGACCGTCCATGTATCAGGGGACGGTACCCCGAGAATAACTCCAGAGGCTTTGGGAGACAAGCCTCTAGAAGCTCGTAAATATGTGCTTCCGGGTGGATTTAGGCCCCACTGCATGGTTGGTCAAACTTTCGATTCAAAGGATCTGGTCAGGGTAGCCATAGGAACCCTTCACGTTGATGTGAACTAATGCGAAGCATGTCGTCCTAAAATCTTGAAGACCCATTTGTAAAAGCCTTTTACGCATATCTGCCTTAACTAGAGCCCCTGAAACTTTCAATTTAGATGTGTTTGTTTCCGGAACACCCATACATGACCCTGCTTCAATCATCACCTTTCGATATTCAGATCCGACCTCATTCTCACGCTTTTCTCTCGGTTTATCCGGCCATTTGGCATCCGAAGCTCGCGGTGTTGCTGGTGTCAGAATCATGCTAAGTATCAAGGCTGAGCGTTCAATTTTTGACTGGCTGGTGGTGGTTGGTAGTTGCCAACATGACACTGTACATTTCTACGGTTGGATGCAGGTCAAAAGATCCAACATAAACCGTTGGTGCTTACCTATGGTGTCTGCCCAGGGACAAAAATGGTTGCAGTTTGCCTGAAATGAAGGATAAATGTTACAAGGGCTTTTTCAAACTATCTCAAAGTGTTTGTTCAGTGGGGATTGCAGTAGTCGCTGATGGCCTCAATGCCTAATCGGGCTCCCTGGATGATTCAGGAAAATTATTCTCAGTCAAAAAGACAGACAAGGGAGACCGGTTACTTCAAATATGCGCAGATCACTGAATGATCCTATCAAAAACTAGCTTTCCCCCGGTACACCGAAATGGCTTCAAATGGAAACCCTTTAAGTGATCACAACGTTCGACTCGAATCAATCACATCGCCATCAACCACCGTTGGTGGGAATCCATCTAAGACTGCTGCTCCCGATGTTCAACACTTGCAGAAACGGGTGCGCTGTTGCGAGGCAGATTGTCCATACCGCAGATACTTCTCCCTAATATTTAACTCTATCGATTGTCTACCACACTTGAGAATCAGGTTGGTTTTAGATCTGATAGAGTTATCACCTATCAGAGATTCCGCCAATTTCTGGAATAAAAACATTCCTTTCGTAAGCTCTTATTTTCTACCTTTCCAGATCTAAAGCGCCACCGGACTCATTTTAACGCCCTATACTCTGGCGCATCCCCTTCGTGAACAGTGTATCCCTGAAGTTTGTTTCAACATCACGATTCCTTCATACCGATAGCAGAAGTTGACTTTCGGCTTAGAGCTCCTTTTGCCAGGGTTCACCACAGAAAGCGGTGTTTGTCACAGTTGTTTCCCTCTGTTTCTCCCATTCTGCTTACCTTCTTCATAGATTTGATTTTAGGAACAATAATTTGCTTTCAGGCAGCAGGTTGTTCAGTCTGGAGTATGCGGACAATATTGTACTCTTAAGCGAAGATCCAGGTAGGTTGTCAGCTTTCTCGGTTGTTTCAGTGAAACTGTAGTCATGCATTTTCACAGTGGAAAATGTTGCTGCAGGACGGGGTCGACCCAGCCCACAACCTCACTTCAATTGGGGGTTTAATAGAGCGTGAACAAAATGTTCCGTTTCAACAGCTTTATCTAATTTGGCGCACTCAACGCAGATCAGTTGTTGGCACGCACACAGAAGGTTCGGTCAGCATTTGCCAACTTCAGACATCTTTGAAGCTGTCGTGATAGCCGGCTCCATGTGAAGGGTCATAGGTAAGCTGTAACAGTTTAGCCAGAGCTACCTTATGGTGGTAAGGCTTAGATATTACGAAAACAGGATAAGAATAGACTGTCAGCATTCGAACACCACAGTCTACACCGCTTTGCTCGAGTCTGTCAGGGAAACCGAACAAGCAATGCTGAGGTTGGGAACAGAGTTTTAGGTATTCCCAGTCGCTCACTGGAGCGAGTGGTTCCTCTCCATGGGTTGCGTTGTTTGGTGCGTATGTTGCTCATGCCACCAAATAGGTTGCCACGGCGCACAGTGTTTACCAAGGCAGATTAGCTTGAAAAATGTTAGCAGTATCAAAATCAGACTGGTATAATAACGTGAAAACTCGTGAACAGGATACTTGGTCACGTAGGTGGTGTTAGGCTCTGTGAATGTGGACTTCGAGAGCTTTATAACTAATGATTAGAGATACTGAGTTATATGGCTTAGTGTCTCAAACAGCAACGTTCACTTGCTCCTATGGAGCGCGGCACACCGGCCGAACTAAGAGGCAGCTATCGAAGAGGATACGCTAACACCACCCTCGCTGGTTGAGGCACGGTGAAACTAGGACGGCGAAAATTACTATCTCCCAACGCAAACTGGAGACACGCACACAGCTTATGTTGTTCAAGTCTTCCGTCGTCTCTGGCAAAGCGACTTCGGTTTATTCTACGCACAGCCGACGCGATGGCAATCCAAACCTTGGATACCCCATTAAGTAGTTCGTTCGGACTTTAGCTTTGTCATGGCCTCGGATGAAGAAACCCAGCAACACATCTTTAGGGGACGCACCAATGATCTAATCGAGGATCAGGTAAACAAACTTAGCACAGCCTCGGTAGTTGGTTTGATGCGATCAAAGCCAGGACAACAAACCCAAATAACACTGCATTATTGTACTTTATTAAAAAGCAGCTTGTTTCACCAACCGGACTTTGTTTTCAGTGTGACACTGGGCATTGTTCATTTCAATCTAATGAAATCCATTATTTTTTCCTGAAGCACGTTCATTTGTAAATCATTGTTTTACCATTCTACTGGATTCCAAAACTTAATGAGCTACCGGGAATGTCCTCAAAATGGGCATGACACAACTGCAGTACAGTGAACGTGTTTAATCGGAACCCAAGAATTAGCATTTTATGAGATTATTGGGAACATCATTGTTGTATGGATGTATCTGATTGTGTCACTTCAGACCGTAAAGATGAAAATTGTTTCACATTCGGTAGAAGAAAACAACTACGAAGCAGGGTGCACTGACCGTGAAAAGCTGCCCAACCAAATCTGGTATTGCATAGCCAAAGTCTTTTAGAATCATCTTTCAAAATGAAGAATATGGTTCTGTTTATAAAAAAATCAAGCTTTAGCGTTACCTAGCCAATCAAGCCAGCATGTCCGTAGAATAGTCTATAGGGAGCAAACCCGATGCGAGTGCTGCCGATTTTAATATAAATATTCGAACAATAAAAATCCGCAAATATTGTGGTATCTCCTTCTTCTCAAAGAAGGAAGAATGACACTACAATAAGACCTTCCATGGTCTTGTATAGAGAAGAAAAATAGGTTTTACTAGTCTTTGGCACTGAAGACGACCATTAGCAATATGATGTAACAAAGTGCCGCGGTACCGAAAGCTAAATAAACATGTTTTGTTTTCGGAAAATTGAAGAAAATACTTTTATTTGATTGGAAAGACAACATGAATGAAAAAGGCTATCCGGTGTTCCCTTTATCCGACTATCACTGTTCGCTATTAAAACTACACAAATAAGACAGTAATGGTGTATGAGAAATTCATGCGAATTTTCTCACTCAAAACAAAGAATCACAAATGTTTAGTGATCTTGAGCTGGTCATGTGATGCACAAGTATGCTTTGCATCTGACACCTCGGTACGGAACGAATCAACATAATCAATAGATTTTGGTAGCTTCGATCTCAACGGAGAAAGAGCTATGACTCGGGTGGAGAAATTCACTCACACTGGGTTCAAAGTATGCGTGTCCAGTAGGCCCAATGCGCATATGCAAGTAGGGAATTAATTCTCCATTGATGAATACTTCCACCTGCGTACAAGAGAGAGAGAGAGAGATTGTGAGGAGAATTACACTTTATATTATTTCATTATGTAGAATTAAGAGAAGAAAGTTTCATATGATGTATATTTTTTACTCTGTACAGGAAGAGTTTCTTCCATCACTCGTATGTATTGAAGTTTGATCAATGTATTTCCACAGATTGACAGATTCACCAGTGCAGATGAGTTTTGATGGCGAGGGGAAGAGAAAAACCGACAGTAGTAATAGCACCCAGCCCATTGTACCAAATTAGAATCACGTCGAGCTCTTTCGTTTGGTCGATCAGTTGTCTTTGAGTTTTTGCCTAAAATCAATAGGAATCAGCAAATAACTGGTATCTAGTGCGTTATCTCCCGGAAAGATAACTGATTGAACCATAAACATCTGTTAAAGGGACTCAACATTGCATTGCATGAAGACAAACCCTATTCTTTGAGCTTATCGGCATATGATACGTTAATTAAAAGATTGGGATGCACATACCCAAACGTTTGACCTCAAAATTCGGTGGAACGTCTATTGAAGTTGCAATGCAGAAAACCCAGGCATAGAATATTGCGACCAAATAAGCACAAATAACAATAATCTGGTTATTGAAAACTGTGCAAAATAGCCTGTAGCTTTAGGACAGAATCCGTACTAAACATGATGGAATGCCCTTCTACGGAAAACGTTTGTTTTAACTCGGTGAGTTTTGATAGAATGGAAATAGCAAAGTATGACCATTAGTCGAACTCTCAACCCCTTTGTCATTCTTGCTTTTATCCAGTATTTCTCTTTGTCAAATCTAACCTTATATGCCAATTCAAGTGTTGTTACTTTAAAGGGAGTCAATTAATTCACCAAGACGCGATTTATTTTAACCCAGTCAATTATCTAATCTGTTCAAATTAAGCATTGATCGCTTCATCAAGCCACAAGGACAGACAAACGTAAGTGAAACAAAAGTTGAAATGGTCTATTTACCGATATTTAGAAAACGATGCATGTGTGTTTAGGCAAATGATCAACCAAAAAAGACAGCATTACACTCAGTTAATGTCATTTATAACACAAAATACAAAATGCTTTACCCATGCCGAGACTCTACCCGTTCATAAGCACACAGCTTCCATTTTTAACTGAAAATGTAAGCATATGTGCTTACACAAGCTATATAAATACAAATAAAAAATCAGGTTTCAGATCTATACAAGCAAAATAAAGGGATGATCACACTTACCATGCCTCAATGACTGGTCCCCCACTCCTCCTGTGTGCCTTGTTTTCTGTTTTTACTACCAATTAATACGTTCGCATTGCGTTAGTTATTTCAATTTCTATAGGATTGCCTGAACTTTAGTATACACGTGTACCGAAGCAGCAAGAAACCCCGTTTGTGTGCTCGACCTTGGATTTATTTTCCTCCGTAGCTCTCATTCCAAAAAATGACTGACTGTTGCTGATGTCCCAATCCAAATAATCCTGAATCAACAATTGCGATCAATCGCAGTGTGAACTGGTTGGTACAACTGTAACATGTGTTTTTTATGCGGTTCGAGATTTAGGATTAGTCAATGGATATACTATATTTATGTTTAGGATGAGTATCTTATTAGTGAGTCGGGA